AGCCATTCCCTTCTCCACTGAAATGCCATATCTTCCAATCTTCCCATCTCTCCTTTCTCATTTGCCTTTAACTTCTTTTCTCAGCCATTTGTAAGGTCACCTGAGACATGCATTTTGCCTTTTTGTATTTCTTTTTCTTCTGGATGGTTTTGACCACTGCCTCCTGTAAAATGCCCTGAACCTCCCTCCATATTTCTTCAGGCACTCTACCAGATCTAATCCCTTGAATCTGTTTGTTACTTCCATTGTATAATTATAAGGGATTTGACTGAGGTAATACTGATTGGACTAGTGATTTTCCCTACTGAATTCAATTTAAGTGTGAATTTTGCCTTAAGGAGTTCATGATCTGAGCCACAGTCAGCTCCTGGTCTTGTTTTGGCTGACTGTATAGAGCTTCTCCATCTTCAGCTGCAAAGAGTATAGTCAATCTGATTTCAGCATTGAGCCTCTGGCGATGTCCATGTGTAGAGTCTTCTCTTGTGTTGTTGGAAGAGGATGTCTGCTCTACTAAATTTCAGTCCCTTGGCACTGGCCATACTAAAATTCCAGTCCTTTGGCACAGGTCATACTAAAATTCCAAATTTCATATTTAACATCATTTTCAAAAAGGCCATCTCTGAAGGTATATTATAACACAATTGCAACTAAGAAGCGACAGACATTCTTCTCAATATCTTAGCCAAAAATAATTTAAACTAGGCCATTTATAGAGAAGAAAACAAGGGAATATTTTCAATAACAGAATATAAATGAGATACTGTTTGGAAAACACAACTCTAATCTAAAACACTAAATAATTTGGATGATGTTACTTAAGATAAATAATATATGGGACACAAGACTTTTAAAGTTCACAAGGAGCCATTTGTATTAATTGCAGGTAGATTATCTGCCTCAGGAGATGTTCTGTGCTACTATTCTTAAGCCCATACCTAACCACACAGAAAAAAATTGCCTAACTCTTGAACTAAATTGCCAAAGGTAATAGCTGCAGGAGAGTTTACAAATTCTCTATCTCCAGCTATGAGAAATAGACCATGAAAACATCTTTAATGACCATCCTACAATATTATCTTTGCCCTAGATAGCTAAGTCATGCTAGAGCTGTTCACAATGGAGGTGAAAGATGGGAGAAAGCAAAATGGACTATGAGAAGTAGATGTAAGATCTGCATGTTAAATATACACTATACTATTTGTCCAATATGAACTTCATCATTTCTACCAGGCTTTCATTTATTCCACTATTCTTAGGTATCATGTGATAAAACAAGACATCTTTAGAAGTTGTCAGGGAAAACACTTCCCTGACTTTGCATCAACTCCAGTACCCAACCTGGCTCTATCCTTTCTTCCAAAGCCATTCCCTTCTCCACTGAAATGCCATATCTTCCAATCTTCCCATCTCTCCCTACCATTTGTCCATTAGATTTGTTCAAAATAGTCAAACACATGGAAAAAAGGTGGCACTGATCAGGAGACAGCAGGAATGTGTGGAATCTGGACACATCCGTGGCGTGCACCAGCTGCTATGAAGCCTTACTTAGACACTATGAGCAATACAGCTTCCACGCAAGCAATATTTCACTTTTGTCCTCAACCAAACCATGCTCCTTCAAACAAAAACTATGAATAGTTTAGATTGCTTTTCATTTTAAGTTGAGGTAAAGAGGTGGCATGCCATTTGAATAGAAGCTATATCTTTTCTCAAAGCACTTGAACTTCCAAGACCCCAAGACAGAATGCTTGGCCAGTGGACCGGGTTCTTTAATTCACATGTTCCCCTTTCTCTAGACAAATACCTTTCTCATAGCTAGAGTTTTTAAAGCTTCCCAGGTGGCACAGTGGAAAAGAATCCACCTGCCAATGCAGGAGCCCCAAGAGACATGGGTTTGATTCCTGTCAGGAAGATCCCCTGAAGTAGGAAATGGCAACTTACTCCAGTATTCTTGCCTGGAAAATTCCACAGACAGAGGAGCCTGGTGTGTTATACTCCATAGGGTTATAAACAGTCATACATGACTGAGCACAGATACACACACACAGAGTTTTTAATAAAAGCCAGTATTTTCTCAAGCAAGAGGGTGGGTGACTACAAAATATTTTTTGTGTGTTTTATCTAATCCAGTATCCACCTCGGTTGGAGTAACTGCTCAGGTGAGAGAACATGTTACCTGATGCTTTGATGAATAAGTCCAAAACATCCTTCTACTAGCAAGCTAAATGCATTCATTTGTACTGTTGTACTGTCCTACTTCTGATTAATCTCCTCAGAACCCTCTCATCTCTTTCCTCTGTTCTCTTTATCTCAAGTATCTAATTTAATTCCTTCATGTAATAAGCTACCATTCTACAATTCTTATGGTTTCTTCTTTGGTTCTTTTGGTAGCCAATTTATTTGCTATACTCAAACTCAACACTTCATTACCCATTTAGTAATAACACTTGCCTAGCTAAACTTACTTAGAAAATTAAAACATCTTCCACAATTTTAACAGTAAGCCCACCTTTAAGCTCTTTCCTTAACGTGAATGTATCTGGTAAGGTTGCCCAATAAAGCCAAAGGGAGACTTTGAATATAAGATTAGTTACACATACTTAAAAAATGAATGAATTATATATTTTTCAATAAGGCATAATATTAACACTTATGATAAACTTGCCTAAATTATAAAATATCCGATAGATGAAACAAAACATGTAGTTATATTGATCCATGTTGTCTGAAAAGGTTTCCAAGGTTTTGCCTCATTTGTGCTACCCCAGCCTCAGCAGAAGCTTAGAAAAATCTAAAGAGCATTTTATCCTTTCTGATTATTTAAAATCATTATGACTCAATTGTGGGCAAATAATCCATACAATTGGCATATTCTGCCAATCATTACTCTAGGAATCTTTACTCCATAGCGTGAATTTGCTTCTGTTGGTCTTGTGTAGTAGAACTTACTGAATTAGTTGAATAAGGACCACATCTTACACTACATTCTATTTAACACATATCCCAGTTAATATAATAACAACTTTTTGCATGTTTCAAGACTAACATTTTTAATTATTTATCTTTCAAGACTAATATTTTGCGTTTCCATCTAGTCAAAGCTATGGTTGTTCCAGTAGTCATGTATGGATGTGAGAGTTGGATTATAAAGAAAGTTAAGAGCCAAAGAATTGATGCTTTTGAACTGTGGTGTTGAAGACTCTTGAGAGTCCCTTGGACTGCAAGGAAATCAAACCAATCAATCCTAATGGAAATCAGGCCTGAGTATTCATTGGAAGGATTGATGCTGAAGCTGAAACTCCAGTACATTGGCCACCTGATGCGAAGAACTGACTCACTGGAAAAGACCCTGATGCTGGGAAAGATCGAAGGTAGAGGAAAAGGGGGTGACACAGGATGAGATGGTTGGATGGCATCACCAGCTCGATGAAGATGAGTTTGAGCAAGCTCTGAGAGTTGATGGACAGGGAAGCCTGGCGTGCTGCAGTCCATGGGGTCACAAAGAGTTGGACATGACTGAGCAACTGAACTGAACTGTACTGAGGACTAATATAAAGCTGATTTTCCACTGGGAAAAATTCTATGGTATTTAAGAGTTTTCTGAAATGAGTTATGATTTCCTTTTATGGAAAAAATAAAATGAAATAAAACTGTTTAATAAAATTAGCAATTTAAAAATATGAGTGAAATTTCCTTAAAAATCCCTGTTCTGTTACTCCGAAATAAAATTTCTACATTTTTACTTCTTTTGTTTTCTCTCAAAGAATATAAAAGGCATAGTTAAGGTGGCATTGAATAGATAATGCTGATTATTTTTTTTAGCAAAAGAAAGGGTGTTTTGTAATTTTCTAAGAATGCTTATGGGCCTACCTCACCAACCTAGACAATGAATAAGAATTACATATGTTTAATAAAAATATTTATATTTTCTTTAGAGATTATTTATCATTTGGTTTATTTAAGTGAGCATAAACATATTTGAACCAAATCCTATAATCCTTCCAAATCCTACAATGATATAAAAACAAATTACATGTTAAAAGAATGTTTAAAAGTCAGCTGGTATGCAAAAGCTTTCCTACTGATAGCCCACAATAATTTTCTAAGAAAATCAAGTTAAATAAAAGAAGCTAGAATTTATAGACTTCTTATTAACCTAAGGAAAACACATTAAGTATAAAGTTTCATTATATACAGGGAATGTGAGAATGACACTTTAATCATTTCAATTTTTGATGTCAAAGGTGAATAGATTTGAGGGATGTTGACATCATTATATTATGAGTTTGAGATTCTTAAAAGATTGGTGAAAATAGAGACTTCAAAACTCCCCAAATCTTTAGACACTGTGGTTCAGTCTGCAGTTGCCTTGGATCTTCCTAGATCTTTTGATGTTTAAAAACAGCTAACTGAATCCAAAACATCAAAATGTAAGGATGGGAGAAGAAGGATGAAGAGGAGAGGGAAAGATTAGGGAGAATGTCTATAGTTTCTTTACTGTCTTATATGGAACTAGAGATCAGCCCATACAATTAATCTGGAAATGAAACATTATTTCCATAACTGAAGGTGAATATGAAAAATATAATTCTTAGTGAACACTTTTCCTTAACATTTATACATTGCCTTCTTTTCAGACAATTTTTTTAGTAAAAATTATTATTAAAATCTCAATCACTAAACATGCATTTATTAAACATAAAAGGTAGTACTACATATACTCTCTGGCCCAAACAAGTAAAATCTCTTCTTCAAAAAGTACTGTATCTAAGAAATAATATTAAAACCAAAAGGAAGACAACATATTTTCTTGCTTAAATTTTCTCATTTCATTTTGTGAACAGTTTGTAGCATGGTATATGACAGCTGAAATACAAATTATCCTTTACAAAAATGTCAAAATGATTTGTTGAAAGTAAAAAACTCAAGATTTTAAAACACACATTAAATAATGAAAAGTTAACATTTCATCGTCTAAAATTAAAAAAAAAAATACTTACACTATGGACTTTTCCAGGCGACTTCCCTGTGAACCAACAATCTCTCCCAATGTACAAAACACTTGTCCCAGAAAGTCCTAAAATAGATAAAAAGATTAAGGCTCTTAAATCCCCAAACTGTCTTTACGTATTTTGTACATCATATCTGCGTTGTATTCATTGTTAAGGTATTGAATTCTCTAACTTCCAATAATAAACAAAATAAACTCAAAATGCATGAATTTTAGCATATGATTGTCCCCTAAGTTTGCACAGCCTTCTGTTCTTTTAATCACTAAGGTGGTTTGTTATTATGATTGTTCAGACATTGTATTTGCTTTCTTTCTCTTTTTTAAATTAAAATGAAAATGGAAAACAAGTTCCAGGATTTGAATTCACAATTGACTTGACTTGAGAGGTTTCTGAAATTACTAAACTTTTGTCTGAGAAGGCAAATCATAAATGTATAGGGCAGTGGACGATAACAATAACAGTGCTACTTACAGAAAAGCCGTGTGATGGCACGGCCACAGCTAGGATCCAGAGTCACACTGCCAGATGTCTATGCCAGCACAACCACTGACCATTTATGAGATGGCAGTTATTATGCTGTCCAGTCTCCTCAAACATGTAGTTGCCCCCTTATAGAGCTACTGTGAGAGAGTTATTATTGCATGAGATAATATTTGTAGATACTAAGAGTTATTATTGCATGAGATAATATTTGTAGTTACTAAGTGCCCCCAAATGGGTTAAGTATAATATTAAGTCTTATTTTCAAGACTCAGAATAACCCTGCAAAATGAGAGGTTTGTTACTAACACTATTAATAAATTTCACGTATAAAGAGATAATTCATCTAAGAGGTTTTCCTTCATGTTTTAAGCAATGAATAGCAGAGATAAAACTAATCCAGATATTCTGATTCAAGATTGAAATACTGCCTAAAGATCTAAATATCATAAATACAATGCAACTCCCCATGTTAAGAAAATAAGGGTTCCTACTCCATCCAGAAATGTGCATCAAGAAAACATAGAGGTGGTTCAGGGAGAGAGGTACATCATAGCCTGTGTATGATCCCAAGCTGTCTTAAAGGAGAAAGTGGCAGATCTGTCTCAACTGTACTGTGAACTGGCTCAGGAAAATTCCTAAGAAAGAATGATAGCAAACAAAATGCTGTTTTAAGTTTTACTACATAAAAAATTTAAATACCTAACAAGCCACAAAAGTAAAAACTGTGTTATTCTCAGGAAGCTGCCCTAAATCTCATGAGAGAAAAAAAGGCCATTATAGACTAGGATAGTCAAGGGAGTATTTTTCCAAAGTACATAAGCCTTGAGATCCATGTAGGAATCAGACTACAAATAGGAGAGAGCTGAAGCATTGCAGTCCTAGAGAATAAATCAGAATAATAGACAAGAGTACAATGAGAAAAAGAGCAGACCTTAAATAAAGGGCAGAAACAGAGATGAAGAACCAACACTGGAGAGCCCCCTTGGCCAAGCCAAAAAGAAAAAAAAAAAAAAAAAAAGCCTTAGAATCAGAAGCAACTGGCAGCCTTTCAGCAACCTTTCAGCAAAGCAGGGACACCATTGGAACGATGGATTCACAAGATTACTCAGCTACCAATTTGCAGAAAGGACTGAGGAGTGAAGAAGAACCTGAAAGTCAGATCAATTAAAAGGCTACAGCAGTTAATAAGAAGCAAAGTGTTAAGTCTCAAGCTAAAGTTGTAGGAAACACTGGGAAGTGTGCCAAAAAGTGTCAGGATTTGGTGTAAACTGTATTGCACATGGACTTCTCAAGTGGCAACAGGGGTAAAGAACCTGCCTGCCAATGCAGTGAGATATAAGAAATGTGGATTTGATCCCTGGGTTGGGAAGATTCCCTGGAGAAGGGAATGAGAACCCACTTCAGTATTCTGGCCTGGAGAATCCCATGGACAGAGGAGCCTGGAGGGCTATAGTCCAGCAGGTTGCAAAGAGTCAGACACGACTGAAGTGACTTAGCACACCAATGCTTGCACATAGTGGGGGTGTGGCGATGAAGAGAGGGAGAGAAAGAAAATAAATCTGGATTTGGATCTTGATTGCTGACAGAATAGCAACACTTTCATTAAACTGCAAATCATTTAAAATTTTGCTTTCAAGTAAGTAAAATGTACTTCACGTAAAGTCTTGACACATTTAAATGAAATATCCTTAAAAATAACATGTCTTTGCCAACTTCATAACAGACTTTACAAATGTGTCTATGGATTTTTAAAAACAAACATAACTTTTCTAAGTCACACTGGGCACGAGAGTTTGATACTAAAGATTTGAAATATGTCATTGGTCTTCTAAGTCAGCAGCAAAATATACATGGGGATTCTAGAACTGTTTTCTAAGGATAGTAATACTGATGGGCAGCTGCTCATTCTGCATATTAAATGGATTTGGTCAATAAAAGAACAAGTCTCACTAAAAGCTGCTCACTGCTGTAATAACTCAAGAAAACAGAACAGATATATTGAACATTCCATATTAGAGTCCACATATATTAGCATAGAACACACACCTATCATCATAACTGAACTAAAAGGAAATAAAAATAATAAAATCAATAAAATGAGCATCGAAAAGATGTAGTGTGCATTGAAACATTTTATTGCTACTGCAATAGAGTAGCTATTGCTACTGCAATCTCTGCCCCTAAATATTATGGTACTTATGTAATTGTTTTACATTTGCCTATGTTTGTGTAGTCACGATGTGCATACAATCCATGTGCTATTCATAATGCAAAAATCAGCACATAATATTCAATATTTGTTGACTACTCCTTGTGTTGGAGAAGCTCTACTGAATCTGTTTTTCAGTCAGTGTCAGGGAATGTTTAATTTTAAGGAGTCCTGTATGTTGTTTTCTGTTTCTGTTCCTTATCAGTTCCTGGAAAATGGGAACGAGCAGAGCTGCACGCAGTTCTCAGGACTGGGGTCATGAGACGGAACACATACATGGATTCCTTTCAGTAACTTTTTACTTTTATGTAAAACTACTTAATCATGTTCCTATTTCTCAAGATGTGGATTGTCTTCTGGCCCCGAGACGATTGTTATTCCCCTAGTTACTGCTGTTATGGCCCTGTGACGATTGTTATTCTCTTAGTCACTGTAGTTATGCATCTGGTTTTGGTGTTTTTTTCTCAACTTTATTTTTTGCCTAAAGCTTCCTTGTATAACAATATATAAGCACACGCTGCCATGAATAAAGCACCCTCGTTTCACTTGAGACTTGGGTCCCCCGCGTCCTTCTTTTCATCACTTTCCTTTTCCTTTACTCCAGTCCCCAGGTCCTGGTCTGTAAAGACCCTAACAAGTCAGCTCAATGGTCTACACTTCCTATGCATTTTATGCAATACGAGTAATTCATTCAGGCAGTTCAGTTTAGTGTCACAGTTGTGTCTGACTCTTTGCAACCCCATCAATAAAGCCACAGCTTGTTCAAACTCATATTCATCACGTCAGTGATGCCATCCAACCATCTTATCCTCTGTTGACCCCTTTTCCCCCCGGCTTCAATCTTTCCCAGCATCAGGGTCTCTCCCAGTGAGTCAGTTCTTCGCATCAGGTGGCCAAAGTATTGGAGTTGCAACTTCAGCATCTGTCTTTCCAATGAATATTCAGGACTGATTTCCTTTAGGATAGACTGGTTGGATCTCCTTGCAGTCCAAGGAACTCTCAGTAAGAGTCTTTACCAACACTACAGTTCAGAACCATCAAATATTACACACTCAGCTTTCTTTATAGTCCAATTCTCACATCCATACATAGCTACTGGAAAAAGCATAGCCTTGACTAGACGGATAGATGTTGGCAATTTGATCTCTGGTTCCTCTGCCTTTTCTAAATCCAGCTTGAACATCTGGAAGTTCAAAGTTCACATATTGCTGAAGTCTGGCTTGGAGAATTTTGAGCATTATTTTGCTAGCATGTGAGATGAATGCAATTGTGTGGTAGTTTGAACATTCTTTGGCATTGCCCTTCTTTGAGACTGGAATGAAAACTGACCTTTCCAGTCCTGTGGCCACTGATGAATATTCCAAATTTGCTGGCATCTTGAGTGCAGCACTTTTACAGCATCGTCATTTAGGATTTGAAATAGCTCAACTGGAATTCCATCACCTCCACTAGCTTTTTCCTAGTGAAGCTTTCTAATTCCAACTTGACTTTGCATTCTGGGATGTCTGGCTCTAGGTGAGTGATCACACCATTGTGGTATCTGGGTCAATAAGATCTTTTTGTATATTTCTTCTGTGTATTCTTGCCACCTCTTCTTAATATTTTCTGCTTCTGTTAGGTTCATACCATTTCTGTCCTTTATTGTGCTCATCTTTGCATGAAATGTTCCCTTGGTATATCTAATTTTCTTGAAGAGATCTCTAGTCTTTCCCATTCTGTTGTTTCCTCTATTTCTTTTCATTGTTCACTTAGCAAAGCTTTCTTTACTTTCCTTTCTATTCTTCAGAATTCCTCATCAGATGTATAAATCTTTCCTTTTCTCCCTTGCCTTTCACTTCTCTTCTTTTCTCAGCTATTTGTAAGGCCTCCTCAGACAACCATTTTGCCTCTTGGGCATTTTTTCTTCTTGGGGATGGTTTTGATCACCACCTCCTGTTCAATGTCATGAACTTCTGTCCATAGTTCTTCAGGTAATCTGTCTATCAGATCTAATCCCTTGCATCTGTTTGTCACTTTCACTGTATAATTGTAAGGGATTTGATTTAGGTCATACCTGAATGGCCTAGTGGTTTTCCCTGTTTTCTTCAATTTAGGTCTGAATTTGATAATAAGGAGTTCATGATCTTAACTACAGTCAGATCCTGGTCTTGTTTTTGCTGAATGTATAGAGCTTTTCCATCTTTGGCTGCCAAGAATATTCAGTCTAATTTAGGTACTGATGATCTGGTGATGTCCATGTGTAGAGTCTTTTCTTGTGTTATTGGAAGAGGATCTTTGCTATGACTGGTGTGTTCTCCTGGTAAAACTCTGTTAGCCTTTGCCCTGCTTCATTTTGTACTCCAAGGTCAAATTTGCCTGTTACTCCAGGCATCT